TCACCGCCAATTGTCGTCGCCGTGTGCTTTCGTCACCGCCAGTCGCCACCCGTCGCCTTCGCCCCTGTGGTTGTCGTGGGGTAGCACTTAGGGTTTCTGGTTTCAGAAAACACCTAATCCGGTTTGGTTCCAGCAGTTTGATTCATCTGTTTTGTTTGGTTCGGGTGGTTTGGTCTGGTTCTGTCGTTTTGTTCAAATAAGTTCGTTTGTTTGTTATGGCTGAGAAGAAATCAATCGTAACTTCTGAGGTGATCCCAATGATATCAAAAAATCACAGAACACAAGTTGAATAGATTGTTTGTCTAATATATATGCACCAACTTGAGGGGGAGTGTTAGAGTATAGATATTAGTATATTTCATATTCTTGTATTAATATTAATTTGTCATTTACCTTCTCCTTATAGGATTAGGTCAACCTTGTATATTTGTCTATATATATAGACTTTAATAATGAGAATAAATCACATTGGATTCTCTCCAACCTTAGTCTCTACAAAAAGGAAAAAAAAATCAATAAATCAATAAATAAATAAGACATATTTTTTCGTGTGTCTGTGTCCGTGCTTCTTAGATAACAACAATCTTCCCAAAAAAACCATGCCCAGATTCCAGCAGAAAAGAAAGATCTTTTAAAACTCACCCAACCTTCTAACCTCTCTTTCAATCATAAGTTAGACTGTTTGCATTTTTCCTCACCAACAAAGCGGAAGTTGAGAAAACAAAAAACCAAGGTCCTCCCTCAACCCCACATAACCTAACCTCCCCCGACAAAGGAAAGAGCAATGCCTACATTAAATCAATTGATTTGTCATGACAGAGAAGAAAAACGGTGCACAGGTCGAGCTTCAGATCAATGTCCCTAGAAGCAAGGAGTACGCCCGCGTGTTTCATCGAGAACGCTACCTTCACAAATGACAAAAAAGAGGAATGACATTCCTTGGCTCTCTAACTTCTAAGCGCTCTGCTTTTGCAGATTTTTTAGGGAGAGAAGATTCCAGCATCTCACCAAACGAGCACCAACCTTGACTCCCCACGCCTTCAGGAACAATCAACGACGAACATCTTCCTTTTTGCAATTCCATCGCAATCACACATCTTCCCCTAGAATTAATAACCAACTGACGCCAGATTAAACCAATCGGTGAGTGCACCTCCCGAAGAACTCCATATTTGGGCGTGAACTAATGACAACGAAACAATACCTCGCTCAAGCCAACATCCCCATCTTCAAGCACACTTTCAAAGATTTTCCCCTACAAGCTTCTTCAATCACTACAAACTTACCATTTCCAGACCAACTAAGAACAAAACTTTTCCTCTCCACCCTCACCGTGAGGGGAGAGTCTATACTAACTCTCATGAGTAGAGAACAAAAATTAAAATAGTATTTAAACCTATAAACAATAACCACCTAATTCTGGGGTTTAAAACAAAGATAGATTTGTTAAAACAATTGCTTGGAAGTCAAAATTGTATCAATCAAAGACTGACATTCAAGCTAGACCACATAGAAAACCCATTGGATAAAGGAATTCCAAATAATATCAAATCTTTAGTAACTTTGTGGTACCCTTCATGCTTTTAGTTCTACCACCATTTGAGTTTTTAGAAGGCCATCTTTTGATATTCAAGCCAACAGAGATGTTATCTCTTGGAGATTGTAAGCCCACGGCCAATTCACTACATCTTCACTCCTCAGAGATATACATCTATCTGCCTCTTTACAGGGTTCTTCCTCACTGTACAGGGCTATTTGGAAGGACCTTCACCCGAAAAAGATTAAATTCTTCCTTTATACTCACGACAAATTACAAAGAAGAATGCCCACATATCTCCCCACATTGGTGTGTCTTATGCAAGCAACATGGTGAATATATCGGGCACATTTTTGTCTCTTGCAAATTGACCTCTAACTTGTGGAACACTCTTCTTTCTCTCTATGGATGGTCGGTTACTCTACCTACCGATATATCTCAACTATTGGCCTTATCTCTCACTGGTCATCCCTTCAAAAAGGAAAAACATTGCCTTTGGTCTCATTTCGTTTGAGTGGTGCTTTGGACTGTTTGGTTGGAGAGAAATTAAAGAATATTTCAAGATAAGGAGCGCTCACCTCATCAATTATTTGAATCTATAGTCTTTTTGGTTATTTCTTGGTGTAAATGCTCTCCTCCCTTTTACCGCTATATTTTCGCTTCTCTCTTATCTAATTGGAGAGCTTTTTTGTAACCCCAAGGGGTCTCTCCCCTTTTGTAATCAATTACATATTTCATATAATCAATGAAATAGTTTCTTTTCCCAAAAAAAAAAAAAAGAGATATTCAAGCCACCTCCAAAACACTATCTATGCACCCAACATTGACGCATGAATATTCTCCAAGTCCCCAAAAAAATATCATCCCTTTCGTTATATCTAGGTGACTCATAGATAATAGAGATCCAACATACCCACTAATTGACTGAGAGAGAGCTCCATAATGATTTTCCACAACTTCTAATATAATCCCTCTCGATCTTCCAAAACCACCTATTCAATCCCCTCTCATGCAGCAGATTTATAATGAAGCCATATCCATGGCCAAAGGAGAAAACTCCCAAAACTGAGAGAACCTCTCTAAAACCTTTTTATTCAATAATATTGTTCAAAAAACATCTCTCCTACAAATCCCAAAGGGCTATTTTATAGCCTTACAAGAAAATATAATTTATCTCACTGAAGCTAAAATACTAATTTCAAAATATACAATATATAAAAAGAGAAAAAAAGTATCATGGATTGGCCTAGTAGTCAACAAGGGCTAATGTAAAAGGTAAAGAGCTAAAAAGAAATGGGTTCAAACCATGGTGACCACCAACCAAAGATTTAATACTCTACGAGTTTACATGGAAACAAATGTGGTAGGTTCAGGTAGTTGTCCCATGAGGTTAATCGAAGTGCGCACAACCAAGCCCAGACACTCACAAATATCAAATATATATATATAGAAATTTGTAGAAATTTCAAATTTTATTTTAATGACCTTTTTTCTCCTTTAAATTTACGTCAATTTACTAAGTATTATGTCATGTAAGTTAATCATCAACCAATATTAACATTTATCAACGGTGAGAGACTAAATTGAAAAATATTAAAGTTAAAACATAAAGGACTAAATTGAAGCTTTTTACACAATAGGAACTAAACTGAAAAAACACTCCAACGTTAGAAACTAAAACATATATTTAGCCTACATTCTATTCGAAAAGAGTCCCTAGACTCCCCACCAAAATCAGTAGCTTCGTCTTCATTATTTTCCTCAAATAAGACAATTAATTCACCACCATTAAGGGTATAAATCATATTAATATTTTCCTTTCTGTTCAAAAAAAAAAAAATTACTCCTCCTTGGCGAGCCACATTCTATAGGTGTCTATTTATGTCTATTTATGAACAAAGGAAATAAAGAAGCAAGCCTTCTTATTTCTCTATGTGAAATTGTCCTTGGAGAAGGAAGAAAATATGCTTGATATTGAACCCTTGAACAGAAAGGAAAATATTGATATGGTTTATACCCTTAATGGTGGTGAATTGAATGTCTTATTTGAGGAAAATAATGAAGACGAAAGATCAAGAATATTTTCTTCCTTCTCCAAGAACAATTTCATATAGAGAAATAAGAAGGCTCGATTTTTATTTCCTTTGTTCATAAATAGACGCCTGTAGAATGTGACTCGCCAAGGAGGAGTATTTTTTTTTTTTTTTTTTGCAAAGCAGCCAGCCCACTTCATTAGGGCTTGAATTGATTTCATCACTGTCCATCCAAAAATAAGGATTCTTCAACTCATCACAGGCCCCAACATATTGACAATTCTTTTTGGCTTCTAGGCATCTTTCTCGAACTCATGCACCAATTTGGCCCCAGACCAGTGTTTTCGAGACGCAAGGCGCACCTCAAGACGACAAACCCTTTGATCGCCTGGAGGCGAGAGGCGATATAAAGGCGACGCCCGAGTGAAGCGAGACGCACCTTAATAAATAAATAAAAACTATATATATAGTGCATAAATTTATATAGTAAACATAGTTTAAAAAATAAATACCAAAATAGTGTCATAGTAAACGTCAACAAGATACATAAAACAACCAAATTAAATAAGTTTAGTCGAAGGCGGGAGCGGCGACAGTGATGTTCAGAGACGGGAGCGGGCGATGGCCAAAGATTGAGATGGTGAAGGTGAATGTCGAGAGGCAGAGAGAATGGTTAAGATTTGTGGACTGGGGTATTTCGCGAGGGAGGAAGGTTCTTTTAAAAAAAAACACATTAAAAATTAAAAATATATATATATATATAAGGCAGATCACCCATTGATCGCCTGGTCTCGGACGAGAGGCGCACAAAGGCGCACCAAGGCGAGTGCCCGATTGAAGGCGCTCGCCTGGACACCTTGCAAGGCGCACCTGAGGGAAATCGCCTCACCTCTAGCCTGAAGCGAGCGCCCGGGTGCGCCTCAATAAAACTGCCCTATACCCACGAACAGTTTCAAAGATTTAACTTTGCAAGAGTCCTCTGGGCAAAAGCAAAACTACAAGTTAACTCCCAACCCAACAAGCTTTCACTCCTCTCTCAGCTTCTGCTCATCTCAATCTATTTGAATCTTTGATAATTCAGTAATAATTAGCCTACCGTATACTGAATAATGATAATTCAAAGAGGTATACAAATACAGTTATTCAACAGTATTCTAATATTGGAAATGAATGGTTACAAAATGCAACGGCCAATCAGAGCAAGACTACAACATACGTGTCATATGGTTAAAGAAGTTTCTAAAACTTCATAAGAATGCTCCATAATACTTTTATTTTTCTTCCCTCCTCACAGAGTTTGTATCTTTGAACAATTTTGTTCATTTTTATTAATAGATGAAAAGTTCATATCTTGTTCAAAAATAAAAATAAAAATAAAAAAATCTCCACAATAAATTCAAATTTAACTCATCATTTTTATGAATCTTTACCTCAAGTTCACAACATTAGCAAGATAGAGATGAGTATCATGCTGAAGCAATGCGAAGACATCATCTGCCATTCCAACATATATGCAATGTCTTACAATGTTAAGGAGGCCTGCAGTTGCCAGCATTTAATATCTGTTCAATTGAAATCTCCAAAGCTTTCATAGAATTCAAAGATTCAGCGAGAAACTACCAGCATGACAATTCTTATCAATTTCTGTAACAAGATCTTGAATGCTAGTAAGATTAGCAACTTCCTTTGGATTCCTTCTCCGTCTAACAAAAGACCTACAAATCCAGTGTATGTAAAAGGGCAAATAATTAATCCTTATCAAAAATAATAATGCAAATTATAAAACAGTATGATTCTATATTTACCTTGCAAATACATATAAATTCTTGAACCTTTAATTTCAATTTTCTTCTTATGGTCCATAATAATGTATAGGGGCACTAATACGGCTGATAGGCTTCAGAGAAAGTTCTCCAATTGGACTCTCCCAAATATACAATCTTTCTAAATGACATGAGGAGTCCCTGGACCACTTGTTTCTCCACTGTCTTGTTGCCTACGGAGGTTGTTTTATTCTGAAGGAGATGGGCACTCTTTATGCCTCCCCAAAAAATGTGGGTGATTGGCTCTTGGAGGGAGTGTAGGGGCTGACTTTCTATTTCAAAAGGAGACCTAAGATTCTTTGATTGTGTGCCATGGGGGCCACCTTTTGGCTTATTTGGAAAGAGAAGAACTATACAATTTGAGGACAAAAAAATTTCAGCTGATCAATAGGATACAGCAATTGGCTTCTTGGTGGAATGCAAATCACAGATATTTCTTTTGTACCAGTCTTTCCATGATTATTAGAAACTGGGAGGCTTTTTTTCATCTCCTTTCTTCCCTCTTTTTTTTTTCTTTCCTCAATTTACAGCAACTATAATTTCAAGGACGCACATTGCAACTATAAAAATAAATAAAGGACATTTTAATTATTGGCACATGCAAGAAGGAGTCAATAAAACAAAGACTCCTTTCCATATCATTCTGAATCTCTTAAAGATTTTTAATCAGCGATACCGTAGCAAATGCTGGACATTGGATAACAAATAAGAATTCAGCTTTGAAGATTTCTTTTGAAAAAATATTTTGTTGAACCATAACTGTTAATAAAACTAAACAACAAAGAAATTGATTGGGATAAAAAGATTGGTGAAAATTAATAATCATAGGCTCCACAATCCTAGAGAGTATCTCTCTCCATGTTTACATTTAGCATCGTCAATCCTTCACAATATGTCTATCTTTAGTGTGTATTTTTTTCCCCAATTCTTCGCAAGATATATATTTGTTTCCATAATTTTCATATTAAAAACTGGGTACCATCTCCCCCTCCCCCCACCTCACCCACCATCTCTGCCATTTCCTTCCTTTCCCCTATCTATTATGAACTTTCTCCCATTCTCTAAGCCCTTTACTTTTTTCACTAGTCCCAAGACTATTAAAACTAAGCACAACAAAGAACAGAACTGTCTAAGTTACATCAAATACAGTCTGTATGATGATATCTAATAACAATTAACAATGCAAAACTTTGATATGGATAGCTCCATACTAAAAACCAAGATATATACATACCTCACAGCAGTCAAGCTAGATTCAGGGAGGCCAGGAGGCTTCATTTGCACGTATGCATGCAACCTTCCAGCTGGATCTGTTGAATCTGTCCTAACCATTTTATGCACTGGAACTTTTTGTGATTTTGACCCTAGATGCATTACAACAATATGACTGAAGGGACGGGTAAACAATCTTAAAAACTACAAAATAAAGGGTGTGACACCCACAAAGACCAAAACATGTTGTACCAGATTGTGAGGAATTCTGATTATAGTCATTGCTCATAACCATTTGATAAGCTGCAGAAGATTCTACATCCTATAATATGCAGTTCATGGTGGAGTATGATCAATAACTGAGATCCAATAAATTAACTATATTGATTGAAATATTTTTGCACCTCAAAAGTCTTCATAACACTACAGTGAAGAAACTTATCAAACAAAGAATGAAGTTGAAGAAACGTATACTAAAAGGATATTTTGCTAATACATTTAGTTCTCTCTTTAGGAACAACGGTCTATTCCTCGGACTCTCTTTTTGGGTTGTTTGATAATTAAAGATTTTTTTTCTATGGGTTTCTTCAGCTCCAAGTGGTTTTTTCGGATGCTTCTTCTCCTTCATTGGGGTAGCTTCAATGGTTGGAAGTTTTTTTGGATCATTTCATTGTGGAATTTTGTTTTTTGGGTTGTTTCGGTGGAGCCTTGTAGTTTCCTGGTATTGTTGACCCTAAATCCTTTAGTTTGATGGCTCATTGTTTTTCAATTTCTTTATATATCTTCTATGGTTGAAATGCTCCTACTTGAGCTTGTTCCCTATTTTGATCTTTTCCTTTCCAGAATTTGTTTCCTGAACATTTCCTTTCCATATGATGAATGAAAAGTTGTTTCTTTGTTTGGAAAAAAAATGGTATTTTCAATAACCAATTTAATCCAATTTGTAGATTTTTCAGACAAAGCTATTAAATATACCTGTTCTTGAAATGTTCTTGTGTCATTAGAACTTCTCAATTTTGATTCAACCGCTGACTGTATCCTCTCAATAATAACTTCCTGATTCAGAAGGGTAACCTGCATATTGATAGAGATTTAGTCCGTAGAACAATATAAAACTTCAAACGTTGAACTTGTGAATTCTACAGTTATAGAGAACTTATAAAGAATTAAGTGTAAACAAAGAAACTTCCATAAGAATTTTGATGACTACTTAGATCTAATTTGTAAAGCAAGCTCAGAATCTCAATGTCAACTTTTCTTGAAAGAAATAGAGCACTGTGCAAGGAAGATTGTTTTGACACTCTTTATGAGATTTTTTTTTTTTATAAGAAATTTTTTCTCTCTTTATGAGAAATTGAAATTCCTTTTCACAATTGCAACTCTCTATGAAGCATGGCTTTAATTTGTGTAACATGTTCATGCCCAACACATGTTAAACACTATAATATATTAATACTTATTGGATCTATCAAATGCTTTTTAGTTCAAATTGTTCAATAGACATGTTTCATAACTCGGGAATTAATTTAACAAATTGAATATGGATCCGATATTTAGGCATGTGTCCTGAATTCGTTAAGCACACCAAATTAAACATGTGTCGAACACTCAGGAACATATGACAAACAATTATTAGACACATAGAACTAAAAATATTCAAACTTTCATTCATTTATTTACTTCTAAAAATTGAGAGTGAAATACATTAGACTTGTTTTCTTTAACTTTTCCTTCTGATACAAAAAACAAAAATAAGAATATTACAAAAAATGTATCTTGTCATATTTATGTCCTGGGTTTTTAGAAATAACACGCCGCCACCATGTTGGTATATCCATGTCTTATATCCGTACTTCTTTGGCCACTTGACATAAGCGATATAGTCCCTTTATAACTTAGTTCTACTCTTGTCACTATTTGGAAAACTTTTTTGTATCTTCCCTAGTGAGGGTTCCCATTTGTTGTATAGTTCATTTAACCAATAAAATTGTCTTAAATTTCAGTTTTTCTTCATTTTGGAGCGCAAAAACTATGAGTACCTATAGCTTATATCAACCAAAAGAAATACCTGCCAACAAGAAAAGACTAGAAAGGATATCCTCAAGAAAAAAATTCACCTCTTTTTTGGTTGGATGAACATTCACATCAACATGCTCAGGTGGCAATATAATTGACATATATACAAAAGGTTTGGATGCTTTGGGCAAGGTTGCAGCATAAACAATTTCAACAGCTCTCTTTAAAGAACTACATTCTACCATTCTACCTGCAAAAGTTAAAATAAAAGGAAAATATGAAAATAATAATAACAAGGACCCTAGCAACTATGATCCATGATCTTCAAATGAAATTGGTAAAAACTACAAAACTGTCTCTAAATTACGAGTAGACCAAAAAATTTAAGCTCTTATAGGTTAATGTAAATATAATCTTTGTAGTTCATTCTTAATACTTCCTCTCTGCGTGGGCTTAGATATTAGCATTATTATGAGATCTAGGCAACTTGAAGATGAAGAATGCTCGTCTCGTTGATTAATTCTCAGGTACAGAGGCATTCATATGGAATAATTCTCCAAAGAAAACTCCCTAGTTCTGGCTAATGATAACCTATTTTGCAGCAGGAAATTAAATAGAACTACGGCTGTATTCACGATAGTACAATCTACTGACAGAAAACAAGACAATAATAGATTAATTAACAGAAGAAATATGGATATAATGCTGGAACCTGCTTGAATCTGCTTGATTCAATAAAAACAAAGAATAAAATTCATGAAAGTCAATAGAGATAAGGTAAGATATAGAAACCAAGAAGTTAGTTGTTCGCTAATATCTTATCTTATCTTATGTCAGAGGTCTTGATGTTAAGGGAGTAGGTGGGCGTGAGGTCATTATTTACAAACATTCTCATGTCATCCTTTGGAAGAGAATTTGGGTAGTTTCATAGGTTTTTAGTTAAGAGCTCATAGAAGGGGATGGTTTTTTTGTTTTTATTTTTTATTTTTTATTTTTTATTTTTTATTTTTTATTTTTTATTTTTTATTTTTTATTTTGAAAAGGAACAAAGTTTTTGTCAAAATAGTGAAAAATTTTCAAAGGCAACACTCCTTTAGGAGTATACAAAGATCCCCATATAACAAGAAAACAGAAATAATAGAAGAACAACCCCTCCTTGAAAAACTACAATAAAACATCCGCCATAGGTAAGAATTCACAAAGTGATTCTTTCACCCACAAAACTTTTTCAAGATACCCATAGTCCCTAGAGATACTACTCAACTGGAATCGCTTAACAGATAAGAAAAATATGCAATACCATTGATAAAAAGCACCATTGTGATCTTCTTTGCAACATAATTTGAGTTGGAGATTAGACCATCCATCTTGAAATCTGAACAGACTTCATCGTTTCCTGAAACTTCTATTTTCATAAGATTGCGAGCAACTGATGCACCATAAACTGTACGAATGGCATCCAGCCTTGAACTTGACACAACCGAGTGAACATCTGCTCTGGCAGCTCCATGCTGATACAATACAGTAACCAACATTTTGAGAAGTCCAACTCACATAGACATAGCACATTGTAAGTCAAAGCACATTGTAAGCCATCAAAACATCTGAGAAGACACTACAAAACTAATACAAACAAACAATGTTTACTAACTACTGAAACAACCTTTCTGCAAGAAAAGCTGGTGTTTGTATGATGAATGGCAAAACGACTAAGAAGATCCACAATCTTTGTATAATCATCAGACGAATTTTGTAGTGTCTTCCTTCTAGCAGTCATGTTATAGAACAGATTCTCAACCTGGAACCAGACATCCAAGAAAATTAAACTGCCAATTACAATGAATGATTATTGGATTTGAAACTTTCAAGTGTTCAAACAAAAGTGTCTTTGTACGAAATAAAGACAAATCTTGATCTCCTGATTCTGATTTAGCATGTATCATACCATACATAGGAATTGGATTACCCATCATGTCAGCCGAATTCCTTTAGTTAACTAAATAAATCATTGTCAACTCCAAATATTGCTGACTCTAGATATTGTTGTTTTACTACAGGAGTAGTCTAGACTGGTACGTTTACCGTTATTTGAGTTCCTTTTACAGCAGCACATGGCTTGGGCTCATGCTCCATCACTCCATCTCTATAGGATACTCTGTCCCATTATATCAGGAAACTCAGAAAGATTCTAGAAAAAAATTCACTCTATGAAAAACAAAGTGAATAATTTAACATAATTAATCTACATAACTAATATTTTTTCCCTACACTTACAACTCCCCGAGCAACCAAATATGAAAGACATGAGGTAGAGCCACAGCTTGCTTGTAGTATTTCTACCTGTAACCGTATAGTTGTCCTTTGGTAATGGTGGTGACTGTAACATGACCTACGTAAGTCATGCTCGCCAGCGCCTCTCCTCGAAATCCCATCGACTTTATGGACTGCAAATCCTCGAATTTGGACAACTTGGACGTCGTGTGTCTCTCGCACAAAATCGGCAAGTCTTCAAACTACGGAAAAACAAGCCAAAATTTGAGAAAATCAGAAAGTTAATGCAACAAAATTGCCAAGTTTCCTCGAATTATATTCACTACCACAGGGTTTCCTTATTCCCTATCTCCACAAAAATCGGGGAAAAAGAACCCTCATCTGATAGCATGGCTTTCACTCCTATAAACTTAAAGTAAATAACTCAAACCCACGCAATAATGAGACGAGACGATTACGAATGTAGATACTCAAGCATGACCTTCAAATTTCGGTTTGGTTCGTTTTCGTTTTTGATAAGCAAACAGTAAGTAGGAAAATGGAGTTGATTAAAGAAAAACAGACACGGATGCCATGGCCGTCGTCGGAAACTTGGATGAGTTTGAGGCCGCCGTCCTTGACAACTACGTTGATGGAGGTGGATTGGGCGTCAAGGCTGTTCTCGACGAGTTCTTTAATGGCGGACACAGGCCTTTGAATGACCTCTCCGGCAGCAATTCGATTGACGACGGACTCGTGGAGGCGGAGGATTTTGGGAGGTTCTTTACGAGGAAATTCTTCTTCACCATCTGTCTCCATGGGAACAATCTCGTCGTCCGCGTGCGTTTCCATCGGAGCTTATTGAAGGAAGTTGAGAGAGAATGATCCCTACTATGAGCTTCTACTTATGTAGAATTCCGAGAAAAGCCCGCCAAAAAAATGCTGCAAAATCTCGACGGGATAAGCCATAATATTCGAGATTTTTGGGCCGAGTAATAATTTGTTTTTGGAGAAAAACTTCGCTCCTACCGTTCCTCTCACGTGTCACGATGACATGCGTTGGTTATTCTTTTATTCTAATTAATTTATCAAATCTCGTAATTTTATCAAAATCTCATTTAATTTTTTTTAAAAGTGTTTTACGATTCATTCTACTGTTTTTCTCTCTCCTTACACTATTTCACCTCTTTCTTTTTATGATTTATTGGTATCCATTTTTTTCACTTATGTACCATATTTCATTTCTCTCCTCTTCGTCTGCTCTTTTCCAACCTAATGCAGCCTAAGTTTACAATATTTACATCTCCACAATTTAAAGGTATATATATATATTTTATTGTTTTTTCCTTTTTATTTTCACAGTTTTAAATGATTGTTAAGAAGTCGCTTAACAGATATCATTTTTCCCCTTTTTTTTACAGTTTCTTGTTCGTGGCCATTTTTGCAAAAAAATGTAATTGAATAAACTTTGGGACATTGGATTGAGCACACCACATATTTCTCTACTTTTGGTTAATTTCGAACAAGTAAGTTACTTTTGTAATGCTGTTAAAAGTTATATATATATATTTTTTGTTAATATTCTCGTTGTTGGGTTTTCATATTCTTAAGTGTGTTAATTTACCCTTAATTTTTAATTTCATCCAATAACAATTTATTACTTTTTATTTTTTCAATGTTAATCTAAATAATAAATGGATTTGTTGTTTTTTTCCTTCATTTCTTTAATCAAGTCATTGATTTGTTATATTTTTAAATATTTTTTGTGTACAGTGTGATGAATAGTAAGGGTTGTAGTTCTCAATTTTATGTTAAAGCTAGCTATTTCACATAATTTTGGTTCGTTGTTATTGCTTTTTGTTTATTTAATAAAATCATTTTTTTAACATATAAAATTATTTATATGTTAATGTATAGTGTTTTTCTAATTATTAGTTATATTTTATATGCATGAATTTTAATATGATTAGTTGAAGCCAGAGAGAACAACATAGAAGATACAAATTTACATGAGCAACTATTTAATAGGAATGGGGGCATTCCAGCCCAACATACTCCGGTGACTGGGTCGAGAAAATTATGAAGTTCATTTGGAAGAGCTAGTACCAATACTCAACTTGAAGTTGGAGAGCCAATTATTGGAATGGAGTATAGTTATATGGATGAAGCATATAAGTTTTATGTCAATTATAGAGGAAATGTTAGTTTTAATGTAAGGAAACAACATCGCAAAATGGAAAAAAAAAATGGAGAAATTTCAAGGACAACTTTTTGTTGCTCGAAGGAAGGGTTTCGCCATGTATACAAGCAAAGAGGAAATACTTTATATGTTTAACATAAAGTTGTCTCTTTCTTTTATGTTCAACATATTGAAATACTTTATATGTTCAACCAATTTCTAGGATTGGATGCAAAGCGCACATAACATGCTTACTTGGAAAGAATGATCAATATAAAGTTGTCTCTTTTAATAGAAATCACAATCATGACCTTGTTAGAAAACCGATGAAGCATATTTTAAAAGTCGATCAACAGGAGAATTTCCAATGCTCAAAAGGTTTTAGCTTATGATGCAGATTGATCAGAAATTTCATTTAAAGCGACCATGGAACTAATGAGTATGGAAGTTGGTGGTAGAGAACATTTGGGATTCTTGAATAAAGATTATAGAAATTATATACACAAAGAGCGAAAAGCGAGAATGGAAAAGGGAGAAGCTAGAGCATTATTGTAATATTTTCAAGAAAGACAAATGAGGAGTTCTTCTTTCTTTTATGCATTACAATTTGACAAAGATGACATGATCACTAATATGTTTTGGGCTGATGCACGATCTATTTGTGATTATGGCCTTTTTGGAGATGTTATTTGTTTTGACACATTTATCAAACAAATGAACTTAGACAACCATTTGCACCATTTTTTGGGGTGAATCATCATAAACAATCAGTGGTATTTTTGGTGCAGCTTTACTTTATGATGAAACTGGAAAGTATTTTAAATGGTTGTTTGAAACTTTTCTTAGTGCCATGTTCGGAAAGCAACCAAAGACAATTATTACAGATCAATCTAGCAATGGCTAAAGCAATATGTGATGTCTTTCCTAAAGCTCAACATCGACTATGTGTTTGGCATATTTTCCAGAATGTTGCTAAGAGTTTGAGTCATGTGTTTCATAGATCAAAAGAGTTCATTCACGACTTTAACAATTGTGTATATGATTTATGAAGATGAAGATGATTGTTGTTAGCATGACAACAAATGCTAGAAAAGTATAATCTTATAGATAATAAGTGGTTGAAAGATTTGTTTGAGTTGCGGGAAAAATGGGCAATAGTTTATGGGCGACATACTTTTACAGCTGACATGAAAAGCACACAACGAAGTGAAAGTATGAATAGTGTATTGAAGAAATATTTGAAGCCTAGTCATGACATTTTGTGTTTCCTTGAACATTATGAAAGGGTTTTAACATATCAAAGATATGAAGAATTCATTGCAGATTTCAAGATGAGTCAAACATCATCTGTGTTGTTGACAAATATGCAGAAATGTTACAGCATGGGGGAGAAATTTATATGCCACAGATGTTTAAATTGTTCCAAAAAGAGTATATGGATATTCTTAATTGTAATATCAACAAGGTTGGTAAGTGTGATGGTATAACAGAGTATAAAGTATCATTTCCTGGAATATCTATTCATTGGTTGGTCAAATGTGATGCTTCAACTCAGACAGTCACTTTGTAGTCGCATAAAATTCACTATCATGGGTATTTTATGTAGTCATGCGTTTAAGGTGCTTGATAAGAAGAATGTGAAAAGAATTCCTACTCCATACATTTTGAGAAGGTGGACAAAAGATGCAAGAGCTTCAAGCGGTTTTGGTAATCCAATATATGAGTTTAATGGAAATTTTAAAGATTCCAATGGAAAACGTTATAACCACTTATGTCGTAATTTTTGTCAAAGTACTTCACTAGCAGCAGAACATGAAAAGTTGTTTGGGTATGCTTGTGCAAATTTTATTCAATTGCTCAAAGATTTGGAGGAAATGAAGAAAAATATTTTTTATGGAAGATAATTGGCAATGAACCAGATTTAGTTTCGATTGGTAATAGTCCACACGTGGGAGAAACGAGTACTGGATATACCAATAATTGTGCTATTATCTATACTATATTAAAAAGGTAGGATGTAGGAAAAACATTTTTGGACACTTTTTCCGTTTACTAAATTTACAAATTTACAAATTGCGCCAGTAATATATTATTACAAATATTAAATTAATTATTAATTATTAATTATTAATTATCAATACTATAAATGCATGGAATATAAAAGGTTAGAATGCAAAAAGTTTTCCAACAACATAAAATTAATTTTTTCTTTAATTAAAATTCATACTAGAATTTCAAGAGTTTTAGAATTTGAAAAGTTTTTGTAACGTTTTATCCTCTACTACTATAAAAATAGGCTTTCTTCTACATGTTTTTCACAAGTTTCAATACTTTTTTATTCTTAGTTCCTTGAAACATCTCTCAAAGATAATTCAATCTTGAAAAAATCTAGAGATATTTGTGACATATTCATCAAGTTGTAAGAGAGGCATATGTTGAATCTACGTATCTCAAATACTAGGTTTGTGACATTACCATTCCACAATTTTACAAAGTTGAATAATAGTATCTGTCAAGTAATCTGAGCATATTTACTCTAAAAGATGAGTGTATAGTAAGTACTTGGACTTTTTTTGTTACTATTGTTATTTTTCTAATTAGTGTGTTTTTTATTTGGAATGTTTCTTTTTTTTAGCAATTTTATTTAGTTTAGGATTTGGATTTTTTTTTGTTACTAATGTTTTTTATTGTTTAGTGCATTTTTTTTATTTGGAATGTTTTTTTTGAGCAATTTTATTTAGAATATTTGTTTAAAATATAGATAATTACAAGCTCATGTTCTTATTGTTGAAAAAAAAAACAATCATAGAAGTCAATATATAAAGAAAATGTTTAATTAATAAATTAATTATAAACAATAATTTGTATAGAATCGTAAAAGGTGGAATATAAAACTTTTGGTCATTTTATTTTCTAATAATAATTTGAAGAATTTTTTTTAATAATTTTAATTATAATATAAAATTAAATCAATAAAATAATTTATATTTAGCTAAAAAATTCAACATATATAACAAAATGTCAGCCTTAAACAAATATTTAATAAACAAACAAAATATTAAAAAAATAAAATAAAGGACCAAATAATTCAAAAATAAAAATATTAAAATACTTACTTACTTTTTTATTAATATATAATTTTTTCCTTTACTTTTAATTTATTTATTTACAAAATATATCATTAACAATTAATTATAAATAGTATATTTAAAAAATAATTATAAATAATACATTTTATTATTAGTAATTAGCTGTCAATAATAATAAATATATATAAAAATTAATCTTAATTATTTTTTAAAATAATTATACTTAAAATATTTTACGTGAAATTATATAAAATTTAAGTTACCTTATAATTAAAAAAAATTTATACGTGCATTGCACGTGGTAATACACTAGTACAAGTAAGTGGAGTGAGGAGAAAGCCTACGGTTGGTCATCCTCGTAACCGGTTGAAAGATCTACTTGAAAAGAGAATATGCAAAAAAAAAAAAAACAAAAAAGAGAGTGAAGTCAAACAAAGTATCTTCATCAAATCAATTAACACTTACACAGATATAATATCAAACACAAGATCCTCAAATATATTTAATTCTTTTAATGATTTTTTTTTGTTTTTTCGTTTAGGAAAACAGTCAAACTACTATGGAGAAAGATACAAAAAGGGAGATCATAAATATTAGTAAAAATCTTGATACATCTTTAGAGGTAAAAAAAGAAACATCCATAGGTCAAAATTTCTTGTTATTAGGAGACTGATGTGTGTGCAAAAAATTTGTTGCCGATTTTAAGCCAACAAGCAACATCTATAAATAAAAATGTTGGCACGTGCATTGATTGGCAAAATAATATGTCATTCACTAAATTACTTAAGGTAAATTGTACATTCAAATTAGTTTAGTTTATATGTTTAATGAATATTTGTTAATATTTCATATTATATTATTGTTTTGTAGGCAACTTTACTACAGGGCAATAAAACTCCGACCAACAATCATGAGGTTGAAAATTAGAGTGTTAGTTTGACTTGATCAAACTTATTTTGTAATATTTTGAGTGAAAGAAATAGATAGAATTATCTTTAGTCATATAATATATTTTTTGTTGAATGTAGTATAAAATTATAAACATTGATTGTTTTCTATAATTCAATTTTGATTTATCTTTTGTTAATGAATTAGTAAGAAATATTTTAATTTAAAGGGTGAGGAAAAAAGACAAAAGAAAGAGAAAAAGAAAAAAAAAAGTTAAAAAAAGTTTAACTTTTATCTTTTTTATGCTATTAAACCATGTGAATACAATGTGACATGTAAGTGATAGTTGCATTTTGTTGTTGAGATAGGGTGTTAGTTTTTCCATAATTTTGGGCATTCATCTTGTTTCAATTTTTCCCAATCTACTAATTTTTTATTGTTGACTAATAAGAAAACTTCCTTTCAATTTTCAGTAGATGTAGGCTAAATTGGTTGAACCATATTAATTTGTGTCTTGATATCTAATTTATTATCTCTTGTGTAAATTTTCTTGATATCTTACACTTACGATAATTGAACTGTTAATATGTGATGGTGGTCATTTGAAGCTAAAGGGAAAGAAGAAAAAAAATTTGCAACTTTAATCCAATGTTTCAAAACTTCCTCAATTACATCCCTTTGCAAAAATGGTTATGACAAAAAACTACAGAAGCCCCATTTAAATTAGAAGACTATGAGATGCGAAGCAAAATAATAGAATAGATAAAAAAACGATATAATGTTAAGCGACTTTTCGACGACTTTTTGGCAATCATTTAAAACTATGAAAATTAAAAATCAATATATACATATGTGTGTTTGTAACTTTAAATTGTGGATATGTATTTTTATACTATAAACATAAGCTACATTAGTTTAGAAAAAAAAACGAAGAAGAGAGAAAAGAAAGACGTTAGAGTGATGCATAAGTTGAGAAAAAAATGGGTACCAATAAGTGAGAAAAAGAGGAGGTGAGATGATGTAGGGAGAGAGAAAAATGAGAGAATTAATCATCAGACATTTTTAAAAAGACTAAAAAGAGATTTTGATGAGATTATGAGTTTTGATAAAATAATTAAAATAAAAGAATAGCTAACACTTGTCATTTTACTATAGGACCAAGTGAGGGTAAGGAGCACAATGCTTCTGAACGGTGAGGAGGAAAGTTTTCTCCATAATTTTCTACGAGGCTACCTCGATTTTTGTCCACTTTTAAGTTTTGGAACTTGGACCAATTAACTTAAAAAAGTTTAGGTTTTACCTAAAATTAGAAATCTCACTTTTTCAACCTAAGATACCTTTTGAGAGAATATCTTCAGAGGGCTGTTTTAAAAATTTATTTACACAAATGTTTAAATTTTTTTTATTTTACACTTTTGGATTTCTGTAGGTAGGATTTTATTTTAATTTCGAATTTACCCATATTTATTGCATTTACATTTATTATAGTTATTTGCTTTTTTGAAATATAAAAGATTTAATTCCATAAATTAATATCACAATCCTTTAATTATTATGAGCTCCATATTAATTTTCAATTCAAATCCCTTAATTCACTCCTTCAAATCCTTCAAAAAGATTGATTTTCTTTATTTACCAATATTATTAATTAAAAAAATATCCAAATCTTAATTATTGTTGGTACAACATACGTCTTCTCATGATCTTCATTTATGCTGATTTCTGCTATTGGTACAGTTTTTTCATTCATACATGTTTGTTCATTCACATCCTACTGCTACGGTCCTTCTTTATACCCGTTCTTTGGGTTTTAGTTTTTTATTTGATTGCTTCAATATTTCAGGTTGGTATAGTTGCTTTAATACCCATATTGTTTGAATTTTTTCCACTGCCGTTCACATTTTTTATTGTGTTTTTGTTTTAATGAAATCACTTTTCTGATTACAATTTAGTTCTTTCTTTTGTGTTCGAGGTCCAAATGTCTAACTATTTTTTTTGTGTGTTATTTATCCTTTAACAGAAGATAATTAACGGGAAGCACGTATTGATTGACGTCAATATTGAAAGGAGAATAAAATCACAGTTTATCTATACATTGAAGGAAATATGGGTATGAATGAATGTTATTTTCTTGTTTTAAATTACAGTTTAGCTATCTATATATGGGTATAAATTATGATCACGTTGTTTCGTTATTATAAAATATAATATTGAAATCTACTATTAAACACCTTTTAAGTAAGATACAATATATACCCACGTAAGTAAATGTATTTTTATAAATGTCATGTAGGTAGTAATTCTATTATCATGCGCATGTTTCATAGTGGATTTTGGAACGACAGAGATAATTACGTGGAATACAAAGTGTCAGAACTAATTATACATCAAAAAATATCATATGCCAATTTGATGAAAGAGATAATGGAAGAACTGAGATTAGTAGGTAGTTCTGATTATCCTAATGTCTTTTCATGCATTGGAACCACTCGGTTTATTAAGAAGGACATGAAAATATTAGATGACAAGGATGTGTATTGGTTACACAACGTCACTTTTAATGGTGCTGTCCAATGTTGTAGTTTAGTCGTCGATTGTAGAAATTGTCTTTCTAACGTATTAGATCGCATGCCTATTAATATTTCAAGTTCAATAGACAATGGTATACCATCAATTGGTCAATTTCATCACTCGATTGATGTTGCCAATATTTCAGCGAATTTCCACATTGAAGTGAATGACAAGTTTTGTGGAAACCGTAATTTACAGAATGCGTTGCGATCTATGGCTATAAGAGATAATTTTCAATTTAGGACTATCAAATCAAATCGTTATGTAGCTTTATGGACAACTACCAGTGATTTTTTCATGCTTCCAATTTTGGAGACCAAATAAGAGAGATTTGGATAGTAAAGAAATTTGTACAAGAACATACATGTTCTCTTGAAATAGTTCTTAACGATCATAGGCAAGCAACTTTTTCTGTTATCAAGGAGTTTATTAAGGATAGAATTAACATCTTCGGCACAGATTTGCTTAGTGTTAAAGATGTTATATCCCATGTGCGAGAACTCGGTACTAGTATCAATTATCACAAAGTCTGGCGTGCAAAAGAATATGCAATTAAAGAAATTAGGGGATCTCCTGAGGAGTCTTACGCATTAATTCTTTCGTTTTGTCATATGATTAAGATGAAAAATCCAGGTATGATTCTATTCACGTATTTACAATATGTATCCCCATTAGAGTAATATAATATATAATCTATTATTTACATAATGTTGTAGGTTCAGTTTGTGATTTTAAAGTTGACAATCATGGAAGGTTTCAATACCTTTTTATGGCTTTATCGTCTTCGATCGATGGTTGGGAATATTGTCGACCTGTTATTTCAGTTGATTGAACTTCAATGAAGAATAAGTACGGTGACACTTTGTTATCAGCTTGCACTTAGACGCAAATGATCAGATATTCCCTTTGGCATTTTGTGTTGTCGATTCTGAGAACGACACTTCATGGGTTTGGTTTTTTGAACATCTAAAACCATGTATAGGTGTTCGCCAAAACCTTGTAATTGTCTCAAATCGGCACAAGAGTATAGTCAAATCAGTTGAGAAGGTTTTCACTACTGCTTTCCACTGCATATGCGCGTACCACCTCTTCAAGAATTTGAAGTTGAAGTACAAGGAAAAAATTTCTGATAAATTATTCTTCCGATGTGCCAAAGCATATAACATTGAGGATTTTGAACATAACATGCGCCTTTTAGATTCTACTGTACGAGGCTTACGCGAGGAGTTGTCAGGCATAGGTTTCTCTAAATGGTCGTGTGCTTATTCTCGTTCGTCAAGATACAATTTTATGACAACCAACATTTCAGAAAGTCTAAATGCTGCCATGAAAGATGCAAGATAATTACCAATTACTTCCATGTTAGAAGTTGTGTGGATGATGTTGCAGAGGTGGTTCTATGAGTGTAAGAACGATGTTGATTTTCAAATTACTGAATTCACGAAAGTGCTGAGAGTAACTTAAGAGAACAAATTTCAGCTTTTCGTATAATGCAAGTAAGTTTTCATAAGCATCAATACCTTAAATTTATTAATACCCATGATTTATTAGTAAATGTTTTCATTTTAATTAATTTAGTTGTGGTATATGTTTGGACTCTTAAATAATAAAAAACTGATGTTTGTTCTCTTTCTAGGTTTATGCTGTCAATAACGATATTTATCAGGTAATTGATAACCATAGACAGTTTGAGGTAATACTTAAAAAAATAAGCTATTCTTGTCGTCAGTGGGATATTGTTAAAATACCTTGTTCACATGCATGTGCTGTACTGACTTAGAAGCATTTACCTACTAAAGGTTACGTCTCCTCGTACTATTCCAACAACTATTTACGTTCCACGTATAGTGAAAGTATAGACCCGTTAGGTCACCGGGGGAGTTCATAATTAATAATATCAATAATATTAATTAATTATTAACTATTAATCATATTAATAATTAATAAATTTTAATTAATAATTATTAATCTAATTAATAATTAATTAATTAAATATAAATACTAAATAATTAACAATTAATTATTTAACATTTAATTAAATATCTCATATTTAATTAAACCATATTCTCTCTTGTATAACCTATAGATTTAATGTACATCTTATGTGCATTAATTTTTAACCTATAGTTTTAATATGAATCATATTCATATTTATTTTATTTGAACCTTATTCAAATGATTTCTCTCATAATATATAGTTTCAAGTTAGAATTAACTATATATTATAATGTATCAATATACATTGTTGGGTACTCTGTCCTAAAACTCGTAGTTTGTAAACAGTGAACATTAATGTGAGGTTATTCAGACAAATGTTGTTAAATGAAAGTGAATTTGTTTTTTAATAAATCTAATAAACTACAAACCTTTGGCTAATATAATGAGTACTTGGACTTTATGTGGAGACATAAACTGGATCAAGTTCAAGTAAATAGCCTAAACAGTCTATAGTACATGGATCAAGTTGGGTACTTTTTCCTAGAGACACTATTGAATACGACTCGCTTTATGATTGTTACAAATGTTGTAAGGTGTCATAAACGAAGTGATCCTGATTCGTTCGTGTAGAAACATGTGAGCGGGGGTGTTCTACACAATGAGATTGTGTAAGACTGACCCTGAAATAATCACTATTACGTATTAACACCATTTACGGATATGACCTAAATAACTTGATCTAAATCCTGAGTCATCTGTGAATTGCTATTTATTCAGGATTTTCCCTTGATCATAGGTGAGAGTAAGCTCATCAGCGGCTGCTCAATATGCGTCCCATTTCAGGGATAAGACTGGGTAGATAGTTGGGGACATAGAATTAGCAAGACGGAATTCACTCTTACCCGATTTAGGGATAGTAGAGAGGTTGTTCCCTTAAGGGCTGATCCCGGGTCTTGAACAAGGGGCCCCATCCTCTCACTGGTCCGAGAGGAATTAGATTTAGTGATTTGATCCTAAATCAATTGTTCATTAGAGGGATAGTGGTACTTAAGGAGAAAAGATGTAACTCAGGAGTAAAACGGTTTTTTTTGACCTAGCTGAGGTTACGAACGGCCTGTGAAGGATCAACTTACCGATGACATTTATATCGAATGGACACAAATATATCTACAGTGAGGGGAGTGCATCTACAGGCTATAGTGGACATTCCTGTTAGTTAACGAATGCTAATTAACTAAGTTAAAGAGTTTGACCGGTTAGTCTCGAATCGTTGGAGCCCATGATCTGTAGGTCCAACGGGTCTCCATGCTAGCTCATAAAGGATAAAATTGATGAACTAGGTGAAGCAAGAATTTGAAGTGTTCAAATTCGGTTTTTAAGGGAATATTGTATTTTATATGAGATATAATATATAATCTAATTGACATTTAACTATTATGGAGAGTATGACTTATTTAAATTAGTTTTAAATAAGTTCAAAGCATGAAAAAGAGTTGTAATTTGATTAATGTGATTAATCAAGCTTAGGTGTCAAAGACYAATTAATATGAGATATTTATTTGGCTTGGTTTTTGTTTTAATAGAAAATTGATATTTCAATTTTTGTTTTTATAAAAATTAGTTTTATCAAAGTTGGATTTTCCCACTAACTAATGGTTTTTGAAGTGTTTCTTCAAGGCAATGACACCTATCTTTTACATGCTAGTGGAGTTTGAAGTGGAAGACATGTAAGACATGTCTTTGCATACATTTGGTCTTTATATAGGTGAAGTTGAAGATCACTTGGATAAGGCTAATGCTTACTTGCATAAGTGCAGAATTTTTCCACTCAAATTTCTATTGTCTTCTCCTAATCATTAGTGTTTTCCCTTTGTTTTCACTCAAAATTCGGTCCCACAACCGTGTTCATCAACCTGAGGATAGCACGGATTTGTCGTTGGTGGTCCCATTGAGTTAGGAGAAGAAGTTATAATGGAGGTCTTCAAAGGTATAAAGTTAATCTTTTTCTCTTTACCTTTTTCATCATTTTTCCAAGCATGCTTGTTTTAGTTAAATTGCTTCATTAAGTGTATTATGATCCTTAGCTTCCTCTGTGCATGTCTAAGAGTTCCATCATGTGGTATCAGAGCATGCTTTTTACACTTATTTAGCTTGGTGGGGTTTAATTCATAAGATGAATTGTTGCATGTACTACAACGGTTTCTGTTTTGCCATCCCTTCTTTTAGCTTGCTTTTGGTTATTTAATTATTGTAATTAAGCCCTCGTTTTGGGCCTTGTTGTGCTTGATCGAGTTTGTAATTTACTTGAGTCATTTAGAGTTAATCAGAGGTTGTAAACGAAGCCGGTTCAAGCTCAAAAGCATGCTGTCTTTTCCGTTACTGCTACTGTTTTTTGAATTTCCAGCACTTAATTTCACCTTTTGGAGGCCGATTCGAGCACCGTGGAAGGCGGTTTGGGCGGTTCAAGGCTACTTCAAGCTTATTAATGTAATAGCTTAGTTTGTGTGTGCTTGGGATGCCAAAATCAACCATTTTTAGTAGTTGTTCAATTATTTATGCATGTTTGATGTATGTTTTAATTGAAGATTAAATCCTTTATGCATAAAGTATGTCATATAGATTTAAAACCCCACCATAGGATAAACATGGTTGTATTTATGTTATAAGAGTTATAATGTATGTGAATGCATGGAATTAATTTCATAAATTAGATATAAATGTTATATTAGTTTATGACTTTAATTAGTGAATGCATGGAATTAATTTCATAAATTAGATATAAATGTAATATTAGTTTATGACTTTAATTAGTGAATGCATGAAATTAATATCATAAATTAGATATAAATGTTATTAGTTTATGACTTTACTAAGTGGATGCTTGTTTTAGATTTATGTCAATCATATAATTGTTATGTCTATATTTTATAAGTGTTATAAAATAACTTAGACTTTTATAATCTATAACAAAGATAAACTTGAATGCTCACCTAGGGTTAACCGGTGCAAAGCAATTCGTTCCGTTTAATAGTTAAAATAGGGCGATAACTTATAAAACAAAAGTTGTTTACTCACCCGGTGAGATCTTGTCTAAGGTTGGGGTACTTAAGTTGACGGTTTACGGAACACCTCCTACCTGGAGATCAAACTGACGTCTGAGTCAATAACCCTAGTTTTATGAGCATGCATGAGAAATGTGAGGTAATAAAATTGGTTTATCACCTAGACATCGTAGGTTAATCCCAGTATAAGAGTTATACTGGGAAAATCACCTAGACTTAGGTTGTATATAATTAGCCGGTATATAGCTTAATAATTACCCAATTTTTATAATAGAACACTTTAGTGGGAGATTAATAGTGTATGAGATACATTATTTATAGCTCTCACGTTCCTAAGAGTTCACACCGTGAGATTCATGCTCGGCTTCGAGTTGCTATTTGGGCAACCTCCCTTCGGAAAGTATTTGCATGGGTCAATAACAAGGTGAATAGGGGAAGTAATTCATAGTAAGTGGGTGAAGGGTGTGTGTCAACACGTCCCACAGTCTCTTCCATTAGGCCACACCGTGAGATTCTTATGTTGCACCTGCTTGGTGTTTATAAGCGCCTATCCCTTCGGAGGGTTGTAACATAGGATTCAGAACACCGTGAACTCCAGAAATGGATAGGGTTACTTAGGTCCGTTTTCAGCAATTGTCTCTCCTTCGAGGGCTTGTTTGATTCCGATCTCTGTAATTCGAAAATGGCGGGTCTACACTTACAAGACTTGCTACGTGTTAGTAAGTTCTTGACCAAATTAACGATAAGTAAGTACTATAGAGATAAGAGTTACTCCAGAAGGCTTACTGAACTATCCGTTGTCGAATTATGCACTCAAGGTATGGACTGGGAACTTCTTTACATCCTTCAAGGAATAAAACCTCGCACCTTTGAAGAGTTAGCAACTCGTGCTCACGATATGGAGTTAAGCATTGCTAGT